GATCTTCACTAACAACTATCAAGCTTGATTCATCGTCTCTCCAGCTATCAAGTATGACCAAACTATGTTTTACCCTACTAACATATACCCATAGCCAATATCCGAAAGGCTTTTCTGATAGATTATACTCTTCTAAGATGTGCCCTTCTGCTTGGGTATCGCAATGTTTCGTCTACCTCATGCAGAAATGACAGAGCTCATGTCTTTTATTCTACCCCCCTGCTATTTCATTGACTTCCTGGGCAGCCTGACTTCTGAGTGGTCACATATGCTCAACATCTCGGTATCCATCACAAACTTCGGGATATCTCACCTTCTTTCTAGCTGCCGGGCTTCAGATTAGCGACCTGTCGTCAAGTCTTCCTGTCGCATAGACTTCTTTGAGGCTAAGTCTTGCTTTCCGGGCGGATAACTATTATGTTAGTTCTAATAGTTTATTCGATATGAATGATTCTATTACCCCTATCGTCCCTGTCGTCCCTAGTCTTCCTGTTGTCGTTATCGTTCCCGTATTCCTTATCCCTAAGTTCGTCTCTGTTGTCCTTATAACAACGCCAACTTCCTCGAGAAATTCGGCGCAATAATTTGGTAGATCTTTGTGCATTTCTTACATCTCAATGAGTCTCAGAGCTACAATCTGAAACTTGTCAAGAACAAGTCCGGCCTTCCAATTACACCTTCATTGTGTGTATGGTCTGAGGAGTGTAGTGGTCTTCTTCAACGATGTGGCACTGGGTCCTCTTGAAACTGGCCTCAAACCAATCGCCGTTGGATCTCACGCGTGTTCAAGATGTGAGCCTTATAAGATGTCCATCGTCCACAGCCCCTGATGGCTCTCAGTACACCACAACTGCACAATACCACCATTCAACACGGTCGTTGCAACTGCATCATTGTCACTTGCGCCCCATCAACAACACTGCAAAAACGCCCATCACCTAGAGAGTCACATCAATCAAATTATCGCCTTCAACTATCGTTGCGCACCCGAGACAATGCCCTCGAGCAGCAACCCGGATCACCTCAATGACGAGGACGCCATGTGCGTGGGCAGCCCCGTGGAGCAACAGTCGCCTTCAGTAAGTCGAAACATGGACCTGGATCTTGACATTTCACAGGGCATGGCCAAACTCATGATCGAAGAGGATGTGAACGCTGGCGAGCCGATGTGTCTTGACGAACCAGACGCCTAGCATGTCTCGGGTGCGAACAGACAATGTACTGTAACCGTCTGCGTCGTCTGCGACATACACGCTCGCAGCGGCATCACTAATTACATCCCCTGATAGCATGTGTTGTGTATACCTCTGCTTTCAAGTTTTTGATGTCTAATTAGGTAGACAATAGGTAGACAGTGACGAATAGGAAGAGCTTCAGCAAGTATCATGAGATCCTAAACATGCCCTGGGCAGCTTTCAAATGGCTTTCATAGACTTGGTGTCGAGATCTCTTATGTTTTCTACCCTCAACATACCTTCAGGGTTCATCGAGTTCAATTGACAGTGCAAGTTCGATCCGACCTATACCTCTCTGTATGAACAGTAGCTCACAGCTACCAAGATTGATTCAACAGCTACTCAACACCATCATAATCATCACGACGTCCAAGGATGCCTCTCGTCAGAATCGTCCTCCAACCCGCCAGTCTCCTCTCCCAGCCCCGTAGTCCTCTTCACCTGCTCCGCAAACGACGCCATCAGCTTCGCAATGCCAGACTGGACGTCCATGTTCCTTTTCTCCGCCTGCTCCACCAACCACCAGACACGCTCATCCTGCGCATCCAGAGACTTCCTCACAAGCACCAGCAACGTCTGCTGGCTGATCCATGCCTCGGGCTTGGCGCCAGTCTCCGGGTCGGGAGCGTCGCCCAGCATCTCCACGCACTTGTACGCCATGTCGAGGTCGCCCGCCATGACATGCTCGAAGATAACGTCCGCAAAGACCTCCCGGTCGCCCTTGAGCGCCAGCTCCGGATCCTCGGCCACCAGCATCCGCCGCGCCTCCGCGTCCTCGCAGGCTTGCAAGAGATACCGGACCGTAACGTGGTTCGGGGGAGCCTCCGTGTAATTAAGGGCATTCCTGTAAATCTCCAGCGCCTTGGCATACCCGTGCGTCTCCACCGCAGCCTCGACGAGCACATTCAACGCCGCTATCGGGATCTTGTACTCCTTCTTCAACGCAGCCAGCGCCTCGAGGGCTGAATCCAGGCTCTCCGGCTCCTTCTTGACCCACTTATAGATCGAGCGCGCGCTGGCGTACGGCGCGACGGAGATGGCGTTGAACATGATACACAACACCCTCAGCGCGCCCTCCAAGTCCCCGACGCCGCCGTAGCAATCGATAAGCGGCTCGTAGTGATGCGCCTGCAACTTCCCGCCCCGCTGCGCAATCAGTTTATTCGCGTTTGTGACCAGCTCAAAATCGTGGTGCCGCGCCGCCGTGTTAATGATGTTCAGCAGCACGCCCTCGGGCAAGGCATACCTGTCCGCCTCGTACAGCCGGCCCCAGACGTACCGCGTGCCCTCGTAATGGTACGCCTGGCTGCAGACGTCGAGGAGCATGTGCCACATGGACAGCGGGCTCTCGGCGGCCTCGTCGGCGGCGGCGGTGGTGTGCGCCTTGCTGTGCGCCAGCCGGACGGCCTCCTCGACGAACCCGCGCTGCGCGAACATGAAGATGAAGATGTCGTAGACCCACGGCTGCACGGGGACGTGGTTGTCGATCATGGTCTCCAGCTTGTCGAGGGCGAGCTCGAACTGCCCGTCGCGTAGGAGGCCGAGGGCGACATGGCCGTCTGCTTCCGGGTTGACTTCCGTCCAGGTCTGTTTCATGGCTGTGAGGACCTCGTTTCGGACGATGTAATCGGGGTGGACCGCGAGAGCCTATGCCGCCACGAGTTAGCTTATGAGCGCCAACACTTTTGCATCTGATATCGTACCGCGAGTGCCGCATGGTGAATGGCCGGCGAGGGCGCCAAGTGCAGCTCCCTCATCTCCGCAAACAGCTGTGCCAGCATCGCTGCGGAACCTTGAACATCTGCCATGGCGACGACCAGGTGCTCATACAGCGCGGGGCTCAATTCGGCATCGCGGTCAGTGACCAAGTGTGTTATGATCGTCGCCACCTTCTCGAAGCTCTTCGGCTGCCCGCGCAAGACTTCCAGTGCTTCGTACACAGCAGCCTCCGGCGCAGCTCGCAGCGCTTCTATTGGGTCTGGCTTAGAGGGGTCCCGCGGTCGTTGTCTCGCCGGCGGCTCGTCTTTGACGGGCACAAGTCGGCTTCTCGCATCTTCAAGCTCCTTCTGCGTGGCAGCTTCGTGGTATGCGCCGCCCCCGTACCGTCGACATTGTGTTCGGACTGCGCGGGGCCGAGTGGTGAGGGTGGAGGGGAATCGAGGTCTCGTTGCTGGCGACAGGCGGGCGATGGCTGGAGAGCTCAGTAATTTTGCCGCGGCATGTGCGTCGACTGAAGGGCAAAGGCAGCGCCATAGGCCGTCGAAAACTATTCGGGATCCCGACATGGGAGTTCGCAATATTTGGGGTCCGCGTTTCTGCCAAAATTCTTGGAGCTGTGCCTGGCAGAATTCGGAGCTTTCGTCACCGAGCATCCTGGCCGGCGCGGGGTCACGTGACATTCAATGACTGTTCCTGGATAGCTTTCGAAGTGCAGCAATTGGAACACGGGCAAAGCACTTGAGCAGGATCTTCATCTCATGGATATCTCTTGTTTGATTGTAGAGTACTTAAAATGATTCATTCGGCGTGCACGCGTTTCCAGGCCCAGGTAGCTGCTGGTGATGCCTGGGGAAGTCTCCAACCGTCAGCCCAACAGCAGCACGCCCTGTCCCTCCGTCGCGAGACGCTCTTTGGTGGGTTCCATGGGCAGATGCTTCTCTGCTTTGGTATTATTCTGGATTCTGGACCTCTGCGTGGCCCGTTGCGCCGTAGCTCATTCTCGCATTCCTCGCAGTCATGGAAACCTCCCGCCTCACGATGATGGGCCGCGGCCCCTTCCACGGCCGCCTCTCTGTCCTCTGCCACGTCCCCTGTCTCCGCCACGACCGCCGTGGTCGCCTCTCGATTGTCCGCCCCTGCCTCCGCGGAAACCTCCCTGGTTGTTCTGCTGGTTCTCCTTGACCAGATCGATAATATCGTCGGGAACTCGGAGGTATTTAATCTGTTGCAGCGCGTCAGCGTTCCGTGTTACTGGGTCTAAAATGGGTCGCGGTCCATTGTTCATACGTTGTTTCCCTTCACGTAAACCTCGGGTATCTTAACAAACTTGTCACCTTCCTGTATCCACGTCAGTCGAGAGCGTCCAACCGATGTCGGGGGGAAAGCCGTCGCGTACCGGACTCGTCTGCACGACCTCCTTCAACGTCAAATTCATCCAAGTGTCGCACATGACGAGGTGGCCGTTCAGCGTTTCGCCGTTCTTGAGCTCTACGAGCATGGGGTGCCCTTGGGCAGCGTTCAAAAGACCGAGGGGTAACTGCGAGAGCGGGCCAGAATTAGCCAAACATGCGGTGGCAAAAGCGAATAAAACATCAGAATCGCAGTCGCCTCTGCATGCTCTGAGAATGAGATGCGGCGCGGGCATACGTACCATCTTGCAATCTGGGCTGCGTGAGCTTGCCTTGGGAGAGGGAAGCTGGGAGCTCGACGCGGCGGTTTGCGGTTATGCGACCATCAGGAATTCAGTGGGGCACTTTGGTTTCGGTGAGCTTCAGGTGTGCAACAAGCGAAGACCAGCGGCGGACCCTTCGTTCTCACCTTAGGTCACTGTGGAACAGTGAATGACGTAGCTGATTCGTGGAAGCAAAGAACCATTAGAGCTTCAATTACCCCATCTACAAAATCATATTCCGAAGTACACAGGACATCTTCATACAAACTGCAGCTTCTTTCTCTTCCCAGAGCATCGTACCAGCAAAACTCACAAACTAGCAAGCCACGCAGACGAAAATCGATGGGAACATCACACCAAAATGCAAAAAAAGTTGACCAACGCGGGGCTCGAACCCGCAGCCTTCAGATGACTACACCACTCAAGAGCGGATAGAAGTCTGACGCGCTACCATTGCGCCAGCCGGCCAGGTTCGGAATCTCCAATTGTTGATTGGAGGCGTTGGAAGTAGTGGTCAGTTTGCGGCCTAAGTAGCGCAGATGTGGAGAATCCGTGTTCGCCCGACCCACACCTGAAGATGCGAATCACTCGAGTTGACGGCTTTGTTTCAATCAATCGTGATGCTGATCTTTCTTTTGCTCAACCTGCATTCTCTTAGTTTCAGAATTCTTTCTTACCTCAGCCTCAGTCGCGCGCAGTCGCCTCTCAGACTTCATCACCCTAATGAGTCGTTTATCACGAGTGCTACTTCATATTTTAGCAAATGCCATTTCAAATTACACCAGTTGTAAATGGGAAAATTGCTCCCGACACCGCGTCTGAATATTATGCGCTAATCTTGGAGTCAATCGACTTTTAATAACACGTCAATGTCAGATATACGATTTTAGCGAACACTGTCAGCAGTAGACGCTTTCTATTTCCCTTCTAACCTCGCCGTCGATGCCTGCTATGTTTCCTTCAGAAACCATGATCAGACCATACCCCTGAGAGGCCTATCCGCCGGCATTACACAAACATGCAGCTGATGAGGCCAGAAGCGGCTATGAAGATTGAAATGAGAGGCATAGAGAAAGCGCTGCGTTAGCGCCTGGCCGGTTTATCTACCCATCTCGAAAATATGCCACAAGACGGTGCAAGACAACGTAAACGCCTCACTCTAGATAGGCACTCCATCTTATTAAAAGCAGAATTTAACATCCATCGAATCAGACATGACTAGCGTTATCGTCTATTAACTTATGTGCTACACTAAACTGCTTCTCACTGCCGAGGATCTCTTCCCGAGCCGTCGTTTGCTCCCCGTCCGGCGACCCACACACTCCGACCCCGGCCCGCTCCAAAATCATCACCACATCCACCTCCGCCCACCGCCCCATACAGTAAGGGCTAGGGCACCTTGCTTTAACAACAGCTGGTCGGTTAGCTCAGTTGGTTAGAGCGTGGTACTAATACATCATCAGATGTGTTGAGTAATGCCAAGGCCGGGAGTTCAAGCCTCCCACTGATCATGATCACAGTCGTCCGCGACTTGCAACATCTTTTTTGGACCGTTGGCTGAAGTTGCTGCGTGAGCAGCCTCATGATGACATTACTCATGTACTGTCTAGCTGGACATATAATACATACACATAATCATAAGAGCAATTCACTTGCGTTTTTCCCAGTCATAATTCATAAAGTCCTACCCAAACGCCCGCTTACCCTTTCAGCCGCTTTCCTAGAAGAAAGAAATCATGCTCTCGAATCTCGGCGCAAGAGGTTTCCGGCATCGTGCAGCTTCACGTTCTCCATGGGCTGCGCGCCGCGATCGATTCTGCCCCACCCAGCGCCCCAAGTTGGGACCTGTTCAGGTGGTATTTCGTCTGCGTTGGCCGTGGAGGGACCGTAGGAAGAAGATACGCCGCTATTTCGGAAAGTCATGGCGTACTCGTCCGAGCTACCGGTGCTATTATTTGCACCCCTGTCCTTCCTCCTCTTCCGCCAGAACCGGGTTTGATTTCTCCTTCTGCGTTCTTCTTCGGCTAGAAGGTCCGGAGACGTCATGATGCCGACGCGGACAGCCCGAATGTTGCTCATACGGGGGTAATGGAAACCAGCAGGGTGGCCGCCAGCGAAGGGGTTCCATCTGCCGCTGTAGCGCGGGTAGTGTGATATACTGCCGTTGCGACCGCGATCGTAAGAGGTTGGGGTCTCGCCGGCCAATTCTTCGAGCGTCATTCCTTTCGTCTCGGGGATCAGGAGGGTGGCGAGCATGCCCAAGAACATGAACAAAGCGAACAGCTCGAGCAGACGGTCAAGCCATGGCGAGCAGGCATTGCCGTGACAGTCAGCAGGCGTATCCTTCGACAACAATGGGATGCTAATGATTTGTGCAAGAATCGCGCCGACTTTGCCCATCGCTGCTGAGATACCGTGGCCCGTAGATCGATAGCGTGTCGGGAAGCACTCTCCCGGAACGATGAAGGTCGTCGTGTTCGGGCCTGTCCATGTTAGTTTGGTCGGCGAAGACGGCGCGTTCTAAGCACTTACCGAAGTTGAAGAAGAATTGACCAATGATGTAAAGCGTGAGGAAGATTGGGTGCGGAAGCTGATGAAGCATGAAGCCCAAGATGCAGAATAAAACGGTCAGGACAAAGAAACCCAACATCTGCAGGGGCTTGCGACCCATAGTGTCGATGGCGAATACACTAGCCCAGTACCCTAAGATGACAATGTCAGCGGAAAGAGTTGCGAGGCATATTTGCAAAGAGATTTATACCAGGGATAGCTCCAGCAGACGACAAAATAATCATGCCGACTGCTTGATTGTGTAGCTTCTCGTAGAAATTGGCTCCATCGCCATAGCCAATAGCTTGAAGCACAGAGGTGTTATTCAATCCTAAGCCATAGAATGCTAGATCCTGCCTCACATGTCAGTGTATTAACATATTGTTGAGGAGCAGGGTGACATACGAGGAAAAACCAGGACAAGGCGGTGCCCGTCAAGGTCTTGAAGTTCTTCCACTGAGCGAAGAACGAAAACGTATCGCGCCATGAGGCACTCGGGGTGTTGTATGCGGGTCCGGCCTGTTTCTTCATCCTGAATTGTAGCTCTGGATCGACTTCGCCTTTTGACTTGCTGGCCATATACGCCTTGATGTCGGCGTCAGCCTTCTCAACATCCTGCTCCACATCAAAGGTATAACGGGGCGTCTCGGGAATGGTGACGCGGTAGTACAAGGCAAGACAAGCTGGGAGAGCGCCGACTCCGACAATGATTCGCCATGAACGGTCGGCAGCAAGTTGACAACGTTCATGACAGCTGGCAATCGTGGTGACGTCGAGATAAGATTCTTTGAATGCTTCCGCCGTAATGAGGGCGACGACTGAGGCACCAAGTTGGCCCAAGCCTTGCATGCTGAAAACTGCAGCAATCATGGCTCCTCTCCAGCGGGTTGGCGCAAATCTGTCGCGATTGTAAGCTCGAGCATTACCCGGTAAAGGTGATAACAGGAGAGATAACGTACTCTGAGGTGATGACCGAGCTGAGCGGATAGTCGCCGCCAATTCCAATGCCCTGCTCGTTGTCAGTTATGCGGGCGTAGAGGAAACCCATCATGACCCTACCATGATGATTCTCCAAAAGATCATTAGCCCTGTAAACCCAACGGACTGACTTGGCGAGACAAGTGCAGCGCTCAGCGTCGCCAAGATAATGATGCCAAGTTCCACTCCATACATCCTCCTCCTGCCGAAGACGTCCGCAAGCCAGCCAAATACAAGCTGACCGATGATTATTCCAGCACTAGTCGAAGCCTTAAGAGCGGAGTTGACGGAGCCCGGTAACTCTCCGTGGTTACCGCCGTAGCCATGCTGAATTTGATCCGGAGGCCCTTGCCAGAAAACAACCCCCAGTAGGGTGATAATAAGGTTGATTGCAAAAATATCGTACGAATCGAGGAAGAATCCAACACCTGCTACCAAAATCGCTCTCACATCTGTTCCATTGTGTTAGTGAACACGCGTCGGCGAATGGGCAATCATCAACTAACGGTATAAGCCAAAAGGAACTTTGTCAATCTCGCTCAAAGCCAGCCGCCTCCGTAGGGCGGGGTCTGATATGTGCGAATAGTCGTTGTAAAAGTTGTGAAAAGCATTGTTGCCTCCGTTGGTCCGCCGGTAACCCCCTCGCTCGGAGGGGGTCATCGGCGGCGGTAACATGTCGTCCATCTTCAAAAGTCTAGCGGTTGAATGCTCGAGCGGTGAGGGCGATTATTTACGACGGCGTTGTGGCCCGATCTATAACTCGATGGTTCGCCCGGCAGCCATGATGAAATCGGAAGTCGTTCGTATACCAAGATGCGTCGTCCTCCTCCGGTGATCCTCCCCTCCAGCGTCAGTCCAAGAATGTCGTCGTCACAAGCGATGTCGGTCGACTCGATGGGGTTCTCCGGGTTATTAGAGACTGGGACTCGAGATACAAGTGATTGCGGCGAGATCTCTGGGCGTTGAAGATCAGGGGACTAAGTTCAAGCGGCTCGGATGTAAGTGCGCGGGACGAAGGGGTGTGGGAGAGTTTAAAGGGAATGTGCTGCAAGACCGTCTGGGCCGCAGAGGCGCATGCCACCTACGTCCCGCAGGATCCGTTCTGCAGGACGTTCGTAATGGCACACCTGATGGGGCGAGCGAGGGGCTGAACGTGGGCGACAGGGTACGACAAGGCAAGCCTGTCGCAAGGGGATGCCTGAACCAGGGATGATGGGGGTGTCGGCCGCGAAGTGACCGATTGGATAGGCGGAATGGGACGGGGAACGTTATGTCCGTGTTGAGTGTCGGCCTTGTCTTTGCCTGTAGCATCAGCAAAGACGTGGACTGTGCTTGATGTGAGGTTAAGTGACGCAGGAAACGACGATGATGTAGGACGATAAACAGAAGCGGAAATGGACTCGTTGGACGAGGTTTAGGTTGAAAGGGGCCTTATCGTGGTGGTGGTTCGCATGCCTCCAAGATTAGGGGGGTTGTTTATTGACTCCCAGTGGGAGTTTGGGGGCTACACAGTCCAGGAACGGCGAGCCCCAAAGTCAAAAAGATGAGTGTGTCGGGATGGAGAAAGTATGCAGTCATTTTGGGAAGCTCGGTGTCTGATCCCAAAGGGAGAGATGTCTCATGTTGTTAATGTGTAGCGCTAATTGGAGAAAACTTGGAATGAGACTGGAGATTGGGTTTTCTCGCACTCTGCCAGAATCAGTTGAAGAGACGAACAAGAAACGTACTTTAAAAGAGTAAACGGTAGTGGGCGACTGTGAGTGTAAGAGAATGGATGCAATGAGTGGTACGACGTGGGCCCAGAAGGTGCAGGTGAGATTGATCCCGGGCCACGTGTTGGCGATACCGCTGGATGTTCACTCTTCTGCCAGGGGCGGGGCTTTCTGTCCCGGTCGAAGGGCTGGGCAGACGACCTAAGGAACGTTGACATGGCGCTAATG